TCCAATAAAACGGGAATACATAAAGACAACGGTCGTTACTTTAGGAAACAAGTGCAAATTATTCTTCATTCATAAGCAAACACAAACACGATAAAAGAATATAAGTCAGCACAAAAGCTGCTTGGAAATGATGCAATTTATTGTGAACCGGTACGATACGAAACAAATTAATTCTTCCGGAAAACTCGATTTAACTTTCAAATTTGATTGTGCAGTTTTAACTGTGACTTGTTTATGTAATTTCATTGTTAATTATAACAAGTAATTAACCATGTTTATAAACTGATATATGCAATAAAATACATTTTATTTAAAAACGCGATAATATTATACAGGTTGCAAGTTAGTATAGAAGTTCTATCACATGTGTGAATAGGATAAAAGTTTTTTAGGAATTTTTTTTTTAAATTTGACGCTATGTATTTGAAACTATTGTCCATTATACATTTCATTTCTAATATACATTATACAGAATTTCTAATAATAGCAAATATTTAATAACATTTTTAAATACAAAATTCTACTTTACTTTTAAATGAGTAAGTATAGCCCAGGCTGTGGGAAAAAAGGGTGATTTTACACAGTAATCCGGGAATTTATGTAATGTGGCCTAGGGTATAAAGGGAACTTCAGTTGCAATCCTCCAGTTCATTCAACAAAAAAAATTTGGTTATCGTTTATTTATGAGCGTTTGTAGGTGCAAAATACGTAGTTTTAATGTTGAAAAAGTAAACTGATTGTTGCGAAACTGTCGATAAAATAATTATTTTTTTGCTTAAAAAACTGACATTTATATTACTCAAAATGCCAATTACATTCTTCAACTAATTATATACATAATATATAAAATTTGCAAAAATTAAAAAAAAAAATGATACTTCTTCTTCATATATAACTTTTACAATAAATGCTGTGATAGCCATTTGCACGCCTATGTTCGTTTTACACTTATAAGGCTGTTTTATCGGTACACCAAAACCTAAATTACAGTGTTTTCTCTGTTATTTACCGACAAAATATCTCGAAATTTGCACACGTTATTCAAAATTATGTTGCCTTTAAACTGATGGTTTTACTTTTTAATTTTTTTGAAAGTTCTTTTGAAATATCGGATTATACAGTTTAACGTTCTATTATAACCAAACTTTTTACGCCCATCACTTGAAAGAGTTTTTTTTCTGTAATCGTTGGTTTTTTTTTCACCTTTTTGTGTCCAGTAATAATCGAGAAAAGCGTGTTCAAACTTTGAAGAAAATTACTAAAAAATACTGAAATCTAATAGTGAAACGTGTTACTCATCATTGGCATTTAGTTTCACCGTTATCGGCTGCGTGACGTCAAATCTCATGAACGTACGGTCAGAGAGTTTGATTTGAAATCAATTTCAAGCTATAACTGCGAAATTTATTTTTTTGTGACAACAAATTGTATTTTTTTTTGATAATAATATTTTTATGTTATTTTAAATTTATTATAAATAAGCACCATTATGGTTTTTGCAGTCACGTTTCACAAATTTATATTCAATACTATATTTAGCTAAGACATATAAATTAAAAATGTGATAATAATTTTTAAAACATCTACGATAACCAAACAAAAAAGGTATTCCCGACAAAAGTAATTTGAATGGAGAATAATGCATTTGTTGTCATTAAACCACCCGCCGGCCGGCGCCACTGCGAAAACAGCTGTACAAGTCGTCGGCTGGCGTAAGCAGTGAGGAAAAGTAAGTGATACGCCCATTTCAAATCGCAGTGTGTTTTGACTGCTAAAACAGCCATAAATAAAACCATTATAAGCTCATTAACTATTCTATAGGAGACTCTTAAAAACCCTTATAGTGCTGTCACTGAAGGTTTTCACTCCGATTTCGTTGAACCTCCATCGATTTTTATGAAAATTCGTGAGTAGTTAGAGGATACCTTAAGAAAGAAAAGTGACATGGTGTCAACTTGCGCTTTTACCCTGCGGGTGCATGCCACCCCTTCTCGGAGGTGGAAACTATTTTATCGAAAATAACCCCAGAAATCGATTGAGGGGCCAAATCTAAAGAAAATTTATTTTATAAAGTTATTAAAATAAATCAATACTTTTTGAGTTATTGAAGATCAAAGATTTTGATTTTTCATGAAAAAAAAAAAAAAATGCATGTTTCAAGCGGTTTTTCATAAATAACTCAAAAACTATAAGTTTTTATAAAAAAGTTGTCATTACCAAAATTAAAGCTAATAAAAAATTGAATAAACCTTGCTTGAAAATACTTTTAATATTAACTCAAAGTGAGTTATAGGTAATTAAATGTATTTTTTTCGGTGAGTACTCAAATCTGAATATTCAAGCTTAAATGAACGGGAAAACAATGCATTTTACAAAAATATACTTATTAAACAATTTTCAAAGTACTCAGAAATACCTATAAAATGAGCTCTACAAGAAGTTGATAGTTGTAATGAAAATAAGAGGACGCTTTCCAATTTTTTTGGAAAAGTGAAAAATAAAACGCCATTTCCACAAAAATTAAAATTTATAGTAATCCCCATAAGACTTACTTTATTTTAGCACAAGTAATGACCTTAAAAAATTTGACCAGTCTAGAATGCATATTTTGGAAAAGAAATTTGATTTAAAAAAATCAGAATGTTTCAAATTTTCATAAATTTCATTTTCTTTTGAGAATAACTCCATATATACTTAATACGTTTAAAAAATGATAGAAAAAAAATTAAGTTTTTTTTTACCAAAGAATTTCTTTTTTTTATATTTTTGTAGGATAACAAATAACTGAGATAAAACCGTTTAAGACCTAAATTTACTGCGAGAACCAAGTAACCGGGACCGTTTAAACTTTTATCTTTTAAAAAATAAGGGATTTAAAAGATTAAATTTAATACGACTTTATAGCCCTTGAAATTACCTTTCAAACGATTTTTAAATGAACCTGATACTATAAAAATGAACGGAGTTTTTCAAAAAAAAATCAATAAAATTTTTATAGAAAAATTTTTGGAGCAGTGATTTTGTTTGTATTTATATAGGAAAAAAGATATCTGGAACAGATGCGTATAGTGCAGTAAAGTTTTCATCTATCGTCCCAACGGTTGCTGCATTGGATGAACACATCAAAAGAGTTTATTTACAAAGCCAGATATGGCTTGGAAACAAAGACATTTGTCCAGTGGACTGGGGATGGTGCAAACTTTTTTTTTTGTTTCCAACTAAAACTCCCAATCCACCTGCTCCAGAAGAATTGTTAAAAATGATTTTTTGCAACTACAAAAAAGGATGAGGCGCTTCTTGTGGGTGTCGAAGAGTAGGGTTATTTTGCAATGCAGTCTGCGGATCATGCAGTGGGGTCAATTGCCAAAATAGCCCACGAATTCATGAAAAAGGAGAAATTGGTGAAGAGAGCTCTCTGATGAAGAGTGAAAAATTAACAATTAAAGTACTATTAATATTTGAGTATTTATGAAATATTAATTAAAAAATGAATGAATTTTTCATATATTTTATTATTTATTTTAATACGCTTTCCTCCTAACTAACAAATTATATTTTTATCACATATATATTTAAGTCACATAAGCACTTAAAAAATTGTTCATGAAATGTGGAAAAAATAATATTAATAAAGTTTTTAATATATAAATAAAGTTTATCATAACCAATAAAAAAAGTTTCTAAATGATTAAAGCTATTAAAGCTAATAAAAAAACATTTTCCATTATTTTTATGACAAGGGGTAGTTTTTAACGGTCAAAATTACGCAATAAATAAATAAATACTTTATTACTCAGTGAATGATATTTCAATGCAGTAATGTATTATTCAAATAATTAAAGTTTCTGGAAATTAATTCATTCAATGATTCTGCTTTAAGGGAATGGTTTTTAAGGGTTGAAATTTCACAGTCAATCAAAAATTATATCATAAACATTAAAGAAACTATTTGGGTAATATTATTATGCGATTTGATATTTCAGAAATAGAAAAAATGATTTTTGCATTACTTTCGATTTAAGAGATAGTTGCTAAAAGGGTTGAAAAATTAATTAAAAGCATAAATTATGCTTATACACGTTGCAAAATATTTATGTTATTTAATTAATCGAGTTTACTTATGCCAGAATGCTTAAGTCTGCATTTTTTATTATTTTTAAAGAAAGGGGGAAAACGCAAAAACCGCAAGTTGAGCATATGTCACTTTTGAAGTTGAGGGTAAAATATACTCAATCCCAAATTCATGAAAATCGATGGAGGTTCACCAAAATCGGAGGTAATAGTTTATTTTTACCTTCATTCACTGTACTATTATTACTATGGAGCCTATTAAATACTGGTTTTCAAACGGAAATTGCACATTTCTTAACTACACCGACATCTGAAATTAAACTGCCATTAAAAATAAACTTAGGTCAAATGTGAATTTTTAATGTCATTTCTAGATGTATAATACATATCGATTGCCTTATGCACCATTAATCATTAATACCGGATCGCCCTGTATATACACCTTTAGCAAATGACAACACATAAGTTTACTGAATTATAGAAAAATGTAGGATTATTATTTAAAGATATCTAAATAAAAAAGATAAAATACCCCACAAGTCGATTTTAAAAAGAACTTTATTTCTACCGCAGTCTAATCTCATAATCAATTTATCGCATCGTTAAAAGTCAGTCGTCTCTGCAGACAGTTCAATGCAATGCGTGTTTTATACCAGCCAAACTACATTACAAATTAAGCCAACCATCCATATCAGAGATTACAGTTTCTGTTACACATACCAGTCAGTTGATTTGTTTTGTGGTTGTCGTTGTCATCCAAACGAAAATAATGCGCCCAACTAATATACACAACACAAAACATGAGTCATAATCCCACTTAGTATTCAAAATTCATATGTTTTAATATGTCGGATTCTGCGGTTAATTATTGTTAAATAATGATGGACGAAGTCGCTGTAGATGCTTTAGATTTTATTATTGTTGAACAGGACACCTTTCCACACTTTGTGGATGATCTTCCGGACCCACTGGAACCTGGAACAATAATAAAAGTCACTGGATTTGTTCGCCCCGACTGTTCAAGGTATGTAACATTTTTGAACTAATTTAATTTTGCAGTTATTTATTGTGGCATTGTATAAGCTTATTTTTTTTGTAAATTAACAACGAAAGGCGTTATACGTATATTTAATATTTACAGTTTTAATATTTGATGATAACCTTTAATAAAAATTGATTTTCTCAAATCACACATAACATATAATATTGCCAATAGTCCTGAGAATAGATCCTAAAGATAAATTTGTTTTTTTAAAATGCTGTAATTAAGGAAACTACGATTATATCTTTAAGATTTGCTAGTAACTTTATTTTTTAAGTGAATGTACATCCCGAAAACACATGATTTTTTTGTTTTATTGCTTTGTTTTTGCGCAATATTTACACAATATCTCAATTTTTAAAGACAATTTAAAAACATGTAAACAGCGCGATTGAACTCAATTTCGGAGATAACTAAAATACATTGCATGTTAGTATAGGTCAGTATGTGTAGATGGCGACAGTTAGCGGACGAACACGTTTATTCCCTACTTTCGTCAACCACGTACAGATGGCCAGGAATCGGTCTAATATACTTCCATTATAAATACGGAAAATAAAAATAGATTTTTAAATGTACGTACTATAGCTAATTATGTTTTACTGCTATAATTTGCGTTTACTCTAATAAACGAAAGCTAAACTTATTTTTTTCATTTATCATAATTATGTATCAGAAAGCACTTTTGGTGGCAAACAACCAATATATATTTCAAGCTATAATGATTTTGCTTCCTTTTTACGCTTTGTAGTTTGAAATTATTTGTTTTTTTTTATGGACCTAATGTAAGAGTGCCTAAGATATGTTCTTTTTTACACATTAGACTTGTCGTAATTACCTAACTTAATATCTTTCTATCAGGTTAGAGAAAGAAGATTAAGATATTAGCTTAAACAACAGACATGTTTATGTTTATATAGACCTATCTATATAGACTGACTTAACTTATACAAATATATACAAATTCGTATTATTAGGAAATAGCTTCTTAAGAGTAAGCATTATTAACTCTTAAACTTAAACATGTGTCTATAGTACATAATCTCGGCGCAAAAATATCTGCACAGAAAACATTTATTTTGACTTTAAATGCATAATTTTATATTTTTATTCATAAAAGAAAATACTATTGCTACTATTCTGAAAATTTATTTTTTAACACAGGGATACGTACTACTACTACTACGTTTTCCGACTTCCAATCGCCACTTAGTCCCGTTGTTCCATAGGTCTTCTTCTATGACCCTCTTTCTCAGTTGTTTATTTATTCCTTCGCTCCAAATTTTTTCTCGGTTTACCTCATTTTCTTTTTCCTTCTGGTTGCCATTTTAATATTTCTGTTAGTATTCGTTGTTCATCCATTCTTTGTATGTGTCCGAACCAAATAAGTTGTTTTGTTGTTAGGTCATCTGTGATTGTTCGTTTAATTCCCATTATTTCTCTAATGCGTTCGTTGGTAATATTTTTGCTTCCGCTCTGTGGCTCTTCTCCAAAAATCCATTTCCGTCGGATTCAGCGTTGCCAGTGTTCTTTCTTTCAGTGGCCATACCTCACAGCTGTATAAAGTGATACATTTTACTATAGTCACATGTATCCTCTTTTTATTTTCTTTGCTGATGAATTGGTCCTATAAAAAGCTGTTTAACATTGTGATGGCTATTCTCCTTTATGTATTTCTCTCCCTTATGGCTTTGTCTAATAATGCATCCTGTGAAATAGTGATATCTAAATATTTGTAGTGACAGCAGTACTTTATCGTGGTGATCTTTTTGTTCTACTCCAATGCACAGGTATTCGGTTTTCTTTTTATTTACTTCTAGACCCCATATATCATACTCTTCAATTAATTTTCGTGACATATCGTTAAAATCGCCATAATCTTGAGCCATTATTACTTGATCGTCTGCAAAGTTGAGCGTATATACCATAGTGTTGGGGAGCGGTATTCCCATTGTCCTGCATTTTTGTTTCCATCTTTTTAAAGCACTTTTTAAAGTCGATCGGATAGCCAAGCGGGCCGAGCGGCTGTGGTTTCTCATTCGCTTCACTGCGAGAGATGTCGGTTTAATCCCCAGCTCGGTGTACAGAAAAAAAAAGACTAACGTAGCAGTTTAAAATTCTAAATGAATCTGCGGCTTAGTCTAGAATATGCTGGTATCTGATCGGCCTATGGTGGAGCAGTACGGCAAGAGATAAGGGCTTGCGACTTGGTGATACTCCTCCATAGATCCCAACCGGAAGGGCGTGTGCCGCCTAAATACCGGGTATATATAAAGCACTTTCGAGGTATATTTTAATTAAAGTGGGGGACAGACAGCATCCTTGCTTTAATCCTTTAGATGTTGTTTAAATAAATCCTGTTGTTTTTTGTGTCCCTGCCTTCATTTTTGTTATTGGTTGGTTGTATAGCACTTTGACGGCTTTTATTAATTCTTTACTAATATTCATGCTTTCCGTTGATTGCCACAGCTTCTTCAGTGGAGCACTGTCGTAGGCTTTCTGTAGGTCGACGAACAACATATGAATCTCTTGATTCCGTGCCATTTTTTTTTCTATTATCTGAGTTAAGGAGAAAATGTGGTCAATAGTGGATCTACCTGTATGAAATTCTGCTTATTTTTCTGCTTCATAATCTAAGTATTCTCTCTCGATTCGGTTCTTTAAAACTTTTCCATATATTCGACTTATAGATCCAGTTACAGCTATTGCTTGGTAATTTTCACAATTATTTTTATCCATTCGTTCCATTCCGTAGGGATTTCGCTTGTGTTTATGCATTCTTGAAATAGTTGTCGAAAAGAATCGTACAATTTGTTTGTTGCGTACTTAAACAATTCTCCCGGTATATCCCCTGGTCCGGGAGCTTTGTTCCTGTTCAGCTGTATACATACATTTTTAATTTATTCTAGTGTTAATCTCATTGGCGAGCCGACTATTGAAATTCCGAAAATTGAAAATTTTATGCTCTGTATTACTTCCTCATTCTTTTCTTTTCTCAATTTTTTTTATTAGTTTCCAGCTTTCTGCGCTTCTGGTTCCTCATAGATAAGTATTTATTCGAAGACTCGTTCTTTTTCTTAAAGATTTTCCTTCGTACTTCTGCTTGTTTTTCTTTATATTTTATTTTGTCTTGAATGAGCTTAAATATTGTTGGTATAGTTGTCTTTTACATTTTATTTTTTCCTCTATTTCGTTATCCCACCTGTATGTTTTTTTACCGTAAGTTTTATGTAGTATCCCTTTGCTTCAAATGCTGCTTCGTGTAAACAGCTTTTTATATGTTCATGCCATAACAAAGAACTGATACAACCATTGATTGCCTATTCTTTTTTTGTTCCTTTTGGAAATGTTGCAATCCCACCATAAAGAGTTCAGATATCCTACAATTTTTTTCATGCCGACTTGTAACCCCGATTTTACGTATTCTCTGTATAGACGCTTAATCATAAATTCTAGATCATAAGAATCTTGAGCTAGGACGACTAGGTCATCCGCAAAGCTCAGTGAGAACAGTACATCATTTCCTATAGAGATTCCCGTTCCCTGGCAGTGGTTTTTCCAATTTTGGAGGGCTGCCTTAATATATAAGTTAAACAGTAAGGGTGACATACTGCATTCTTGTCTTAGTCCCTTAGATACTTTTATAGGCTCTGAGAATGTTATTAATAAACATGGACAAAGCTCAGACTAACTAAACCTGCCTTAGTCCTAGGTACAACAAGTTTATGTTGGCAACCATTGCGAGAAAGAAGAAAAATGGAGAGAATTTTGTGAAAAAGAAGAAAAATATTTGAGAATTTGACAGTTAGCATAAGTTGGAGCAAAAAAAGATATTTTTTTATCTGAAAAGTTTAAACTTCATAAAAGTTCAGGAGGAAATTTTAAAAAATATTTTATTACAGAGGGAAAATAATTATAAAAAATACTAATAAACATAATGAATTGTAAAATATTTTATTAAATAAATTTTATTTATTTTAATATGTCTTAGATGAATATTATTTCACTGGTTTCTATTGTCATTAAGTTGTTCTATTAATCTTAAGTTGTTGATAAAATAATCTTCCATTATTAAATAAAGTATATGAATAATCAAAAACAATTCAGGTTATGAATACCAAAACAAAACTCCACTCAATGTCAATTGTCAAATGTCAATTGTCAAGTTAGTCACTCTCTAAACCTGCCACTACCTCGGATTAAATGTTAGTCCGAGACTAGCCAAGGTTTAGCTTAGTCTGTCATTAGTCGCTGTTTATTAATACGAAAAATGAATGTTATTGGTGTAGTCCTGGGACTAATGTTAGTCCAAGGTTAGTCCGTATTTATTAATAAGAGAGTAATAGTCTATTTTCAATTTTTAGGTAGATAGTGTTATCACTGTATACTTCTGTGATTATTCTTAGAAGCTATGGACTAATGTCAAGTTGTTGTAAAGCTTGCCACAATTTAAGTCTTGGAACTGTATCATACGCGTTTTCTATGTCGATGAAGGCTAGATGTACTTCGTTACCAACCGCTATTCTTTTTCCTATTAATTGTTGGACTTTAAACAAGTATTCAGTGTAAGGTCTACCAGGCGTAAATCCACTTTGGTCTTAACTAATTAGATGTTCTACATCATTTCATATTTTTCCATTTATTATCTTTCCAAACAATCTCCCGAAAGTAGATACGACACTTAATACTCTGTAGCATTTAGGATCTTTTCGATTACCCTTATTGAAGATGGACACTTGGTAAGGGTTTTCCATTCAGATAGTACTTTAATTTGTTGGCAGCATTGATTCATTATAAAATTTATTCGTTCCATTAGGAGTGGACCACCTGCTTTAAATAACTCTACAGCTATATTGCCAGGTTCTGGAGATCGCTCGTTTTTCATTTTAATTACCGCAGTGCGGACCTAGTTATTAGTAGTAGTAATGTTATTATTTGTTTGTCTCTACATACCGTATTCCTCTCCCATATATTCCAATCTG